CCCATGCTTATGCTCTTACCTATAAGCTTTCATGGTCTAGTGGTAAGAAGCTGCATTGCCAACCTAAAGGCACATGGTTTGAATCTACTGGCTTCTCAGTGAAAAGACAGCCCTTGGTAGCTCAGTGTTAGAAAATTGTGCTGCCAACCAAAAGGCCTGTTCTTCAAATCCAGCAGCTGTGTCTCAGGAGAAAAACAGGCATTCCTCTCATGCAATTTACTGTTCCTGGACACCTATTTTAGGGTCCGCTATGAGTCAGTTTTGACTCAAGGACACATAACAACATAAATATTTCTGTGTGTTACACTCATAAGTGGAAAAAGCTAACCATAACTGTCCATTGCTGTTTCTAACTCTAGTCTATTACCAGTTGGGCCACTGTGGCCTTTGAGTTTTGTTTATCAAGTATTAAGTTATTTATTATTGAGCTAATTGATTTTATTCATTCATTTAAAATAACTCTTACAATCTTGGGAGAATCCTGAATAGATATAGGAATCAGAATTCTTAGAACTTGATAGACCAAATAAACCAATAGTTTTTCACTGGTAAGATGTTTACTTAAAAAGTAGTCTAAATGGTACATGTGTGGAGGTGGGGGGTGGCTTTTGTATTACAATAAAAAAGATTATAAGAGTGATTTTAAATGAATGAATAAAATCAGTAATCAATAATGTGTTCTTATAAATACACTTAAGTTGCTTTTTTAGGGGAAAACAGTTGGGGGGTTTAAAATTTTTTTTGCAGTTTTATTTTATAGTCAGCTATTAGTTTTCATCCACATTGATGGTCTGTAGATTTTTGAAGGTAGTGACAGGTACATAGGTAACCAGTGTGTACAGCTTGTTTGGGGACCCTTCATTGTCATTTTGTTTTCTGGACGAGCGTGCATGGCTGCTGTATGGGACATTCCTTATTCCTTTGGCTCAGATGGCTTTGTTAAGCTGATGTCAGTGTGAACATCTGTTGTTCCCATCTCCTCTTTGGGAAATTTCCCGATCTCCTTGAGTACCCGAGGAGCATGCTTCTTTTATCTTGCCCCATGGATGTGCTTGTGAATGTTGATGGTGTGCTCTCTGGTCACCCCTTTGTTGATGACAGAACTACCTTTCTTCTCACCACCCTTCTTTGTGGAGGCCATAGTGCCGGGACCAGGCTGGAAAGGAAGAGGGCGAAGGATTGTGGGCAAAAGCAACAGTTGTATTTTTTTTTTAAACCCACCAAGATCTGGAATATAATAAAGACTCAGGCTATGAAAGTAAAGTGATGATGGGGTAACCCCTAGGGAGCTGCTGTGCTAATCCAAAGGTGGTGCCTCTCTGACAGTTTGAATCCACCAGTTGCTTTGCATTTAAAAGATGGGCAGTCTCCTCTGGAAAGCTGCTTGAGGGGCATCTCTGAATTGATTCTGACTTGAAAGGCATGTTGTTGTGTTGTTGTTGATTGCCTTTGAGTCAAGCACTGATCATAGCAACCCTATGAACAAAAGAACTAAAGCCTCTCTATCGTAGTTTCTCAAAGTTCTCAGAGTTTTCAGAGGCATGTTGCTTAGCAAGTAGATGCCACTCCTGCTTCCCATGAAAAGAATGAGAGTTAATATTAACTCTATAATTAGAAAACGGATTTCCAGAAACTGACACCCTGTCAAGTTCCTTTCTATCTTAGAATCTTCTATTTTGGTTTATCATATAGAATCTATGCATGGGGTTAAACATGATGCTCTCAGCAGTGTCTGGAAATAATGTACAGCTTTGTTGCGTGAAGGCTGAGGTGGTGGGCTGGATTGATGGGGGTCAGTGATTTTGGGGGTCAGGGCTCACTTAAAAAGGCCACCCAATGCTGGAAACTGTCCTTGGACCATTGTCTGAGATCATCAGTGACCTGAATAGGAAAGGGGATGGAGATTGTTGTTCTTATGGCCACGGATGGCCAATCACAGTTTGTCTCTAGATAAACAAGAGGACTAGAAATGTTCTGTGAAAAGTGATGTGATTTTAATAAGCTGGGGTCCATATCTATTGGTAATGACATATGAGGGTTTGGTAGGGTGTCAGAGAACCTCAAGAAGGCCTAGACATTTTTCCAGACTTTTAGGATCTCGTAGGATTTTCCCATCTTTCAATAGCCTACCAAAGTCCCTTGTTTACAAAGTGTCTACAAAGTGTGCTGAATAATGACTGAAGTGAAATTTCTTAACAACTTATTAATAGAACATGTCTAAAATTTGGGAGCAATCTATGAGCTAAGATTAGGGACAATGTCTAAAAAAATAGAAGTAAATTTGAGTAAAAATTGTTCTCCCAATACATTCTGTTAAGCTGTGCTAAATACCCTCTTACTTCTAGGAAGCCTAGTTGTGTGCTACAGCCCAAAATTGGACTCTTGGGAGCGAATCACATACACAGTGTTTTATTTTCACAAAGGTACTTTTCATTTGTTTCTGTGTCTTCCTTATATATAATCAGCTCTTCAAATTTTTGCAAATTTTGTTACTTAATTTTGAAGCCTTGTTTCTTTGAACCAATTTTATCAGTTTATTCCATGCCTCAGAATTCTATAGGTAAGTATAGACGTTTGCTAAAAAATTCAATAATGGTGACTATTAAGTGAGCTAAAGTATTTTATGGATTACTTTTTAAAAATTCTGGTTTACTTTTTCTAGGCCTGAGGACCAGACCTAATGGACTTATTTGCACAATGTTATAGCATTAATATTATTTTATTATACTGTAGAAAATATTATTACCAATTGGAAAGTCTCTATAGATTTCACTAAGTTATCTAGGGTTTTCGTTAAGAAGCCTCCATGGTCTCGGCATGTGTTTACTCTATTTCACACATCTGGGGTCTGAGAAACTGAAATGTTGACAGTCAGTCTGGGGGAAGAATTAAAAGGCTCAGTCTTTTCCAGTTTTGTGATTGACTCCAGCTCCAGAGTTACTAGTTTTAATCAGAATCAGTGCCAAAGACTGTTTACTTTGTTTAACTCCTTAAAATTAGTATTTCTGTGATATGTATTATAAGTTAAATTTTGGAAAAGACAGGTTTTGGTCACTACATCTACTCTTCACTTATCTTCTATCTCATTATCTAACACTTTGCATTTATGGCAAAGGTAAAAAACAATCTACTGACTATTTTACACATTAACAATGTGTATCAGGCAGTAATAAACACTGAGGTTCAAGGCCAGACTAATGCTGGATGTCATGGTTAAGGTTATGTGTTACCTGACTGGGCCATCTTTCTCAGTGGCTTGACACATATGTAATGATTTAATCAGGGCTTTGAACTGCGACTACATTTTCACAAGATCTCTAGTCAATTCTTTAAGATCCCCAGGTGATTATTATGCAAAAATATGTATTATGTATAAAAGAAATGCTGTGTAATCTATATATTATAAACATATATTTATTTTTTTATGAAACGTTGTTGTTGTTAAGTGCTATAGAGTCATAGATGGTCCATAGCGAACCTACAAATGAAAGTCTTAAACATAAAACTTGCATCTTTTCCCCAAGTTCATAGTTTCCGAAGGTAAGCTTTTTTTGGAAGTGGATGCCACGCCTGTATAATAAAGTATATAATGAAGTATAATAAATATTTAGCTACATATAGTAGTTGTTATGTACCATTGAGTAAGAATAGATTAATAACATATGTTAGCATAAATGTTTATACACTTCACCTGAGAATCTTGTTATGTTAAAATGCCAATTTTCAGTTAGAGGTGAAACGAGAATGAACCATTTTGAAGCCTTAGATGTACTTTGGTCATTATGTAAAGAGAAAATCTGGCAGTTAGGTGATGATAGAATAAATCTTGCATTCTTATGGTCCGATGTGGTAATCTTCCACTTTTGCAAAATGCTACTTTTTGCATAATGGCCTTTTCTCTAAAATCTAACCATAGTAATAAGTGAGGAATGGGTATATTTAAAAAAATAGCATTCCAGATTGTACTCAAATTCACTATTCTGCATGAATCTCTACTGTTAACTTAGTAAGTTAGATCTACGTAAAAGAGTTTTAAAATTTTCTCAGTAACAGAGAAACCAAAAATAGTTTGAGCACTAGACAGATACACACGATTTTAAAGTTTAAGATTTTACAGAAAGCTTTCACACATTTTTCTGATGATAAATATAAAGATTAAAATAAGTAAATAAAACTTTCCTGGAGATTCAGAATTACAACAGCCAAGTATGAAGGCCAAAGAGCTTAGTGTAGTCACTAATCTAATAGTTACTTTCTAACTAAAAATGGCATTTGTGAGTGACTTGAGAGAAATCTCAGAGGGTCTTAATGCCAACAAGTGTGTGGCAATTAATCCTGAGACCTAAGGGCTAATGGGTCACCTGGCCTCTGCCTCTTGAATGTCTAAGTACATTTCTTCAGATCCGGCCTTCCCTCTACAGCCCAGCTCTTGAGATTATAAATGAGCTCAAAACTACTGTGGGGTTGTGACCACACAAGATGATCAACCCTCAGTGCCGGATCTTGGAGATTAATGGGGAACCATGAAATCTAGAAACTAGAAGATGCATGCTCTATCAATTTCACAGTTAGGAAGTATTGAGAGAGTGTTACTGAATCATTACCCTGGGTGGAAGTGTACTGTTGTTTTTTTTCTTAATACCTTCTTTTGCATCTGTACTCTTTCTGCAGGGTACAGCAAAACCTTCACGACTGCCTTTGACAATGCTGACCCACACAGGACAAAGAGCATTACTTTTCTCAACCTGGGTGGGTAATGGTGAGATCTGCATCTCTTCACTCCATTTGTTCCTTCCCGCGCATGCTTGTCTCGGGAATCTGTATCTCACATCTTCTCGATGCACCCTGTGTTATTATGCCTTTATGGATTTGGTTTGCGATGACAAACAGTGACCATTTTTAAGCTTCATGGGAGGTGATTTGCTTGGAAAGAAGGACTTCTTCCATTAGCCTTTCAAGATGATCCATCTTCCTTTTTCAGAGAACCTAGAAAAAAACATTACTTTCCTTTGGCTACTGCACAAATGGCTACAAATTTTAGGATTTAAAATAAGCATATTATGGCTCTGGAGGTGAACTTACTTGTAATTTTGGTGTTGTTGTTGTTATGTACCATCGAGTCAGAACCGATTCATAGATGCCTCTCCTCCAGGTTTTCAGAGGCAGTAAGCGGCACAGGATGAGTGCCCGGCTTTCTCCGTCAGAGCAGCAGGTGGTGGATCAGAACCAGGTGCCTTTGAATTGACAGCACAACTCCTTACCAGACAGCCACCAGAGCTCCCTATATGTTTGGAAGTCGTCCTAGAAAGCCATTTGTTAGTGGGAAAAGGAGGACAGTGATGAGATGTTCCCCCGAAGTGTATGAGAAATAATACATTGTGTTGTCCCTTAATTCAAGAGAGAAAGAGAAGCTTTGGGAAATTGCCTACTCTTTTTTTGCTAATTACTCAGATGACCAAGAGATTAGCTTGAGGGCATGGTTTTTCACTGAGTGAGTATGGTAAAAAGGAGCCTGAACATATTAATGGAGGCTGTAAAGAAGAAAACAAAAGTGGGATTTATCGTACCTCCATGCTAAAAGCTTCTCCTCTTATCAAACTGGTATGTGGGGCATACACACAAGTTAACATATGACCAACAGAGCTTTACTTACTGTGTATGGAAGTATGTATAGTGCTATCACAGTAGTTAAAGAAGGAAATCTTCAAATATTGAATATATTATTCGCAGACAGTTTCCTCTATCTTTGTTTCTAGTCCATCTACTGTACAAGATTCAAAACCAAGACCAAACTCACAGCTGTTAAGTCGACTCTGACTTGTGGTGATCTTCCACTTGGTTTCTTCTTCTGAGGAGAAATCCTGTGCATTTGAAGTGCTGAACTCTTTCCTTAGTTGGCTACCCAACATCTTACATGTTATATCACCAGAGTGCCTCTGACAGCTTTAGGAAGGGGCAGTAGAGAGAACTGGGCAAAATAAGAACGCAAATGATAGAAAAAGTTCATGGAAAGATTTTTATTTTGAACAGTGCTATTGATGAGCTATTGGGAGCAAGGGTGGCATCTACTTCCTAAACAACATGCTTCGAGAAACTCTATAAACTTTGATAAATGTCAATAGTTATAGAAAGGCTTCAGGCCTTTTGTTCATAGGGTTGCTACGAGTCGTGCTCGACTTGAAGGCAGTCAACAACAATATTAATGAGCTAGATAGTAAGTAGAGCTGGTAGTAGTCTGTAGAGTGTTTTGATGTTAGCCAAAAGGCTGTGGGTCTCCAGCAGTTTGAAACCACCTATAGTCCCACAGGAAGAAGGATGGATGATTTACTTACAGCTTTGGAAACCCATTAGAGGGTCACTATGAATCAGAATTGACTTGACAGCAGTGGCTTTGCATTTAGTTTTTTTGTCTGTTGGTGAAGTAAGGAGCCCTAGTGGCATAATGATTAAATGCTTGGCTGCTAAGTCAAAGGTTTGTGGTTCGAACCCACAAGCTGCTCTGCAGGAGAAAGATGTGGCCGTCAGCTTCCCTATAAAGATTATAACCTTGGAAACCCAATGAGGCAACTGTCCTAAAGGTTTACAACGAGTTAGGGCTGAGTTGGCTGTGATGAAAGGATGGATTGATGAAGTTAGACATTTCATACTAAGTAGACCAGGATGTGACAGATTTTAACCTGGTCTTGAGCCGGTGGGAAATGTCCTCGGAGAGACCTGCTCCCACTGTTTCCTGTGATAAGAGAGAAAAATATAAACTTTCCTGGGTCTGGGAATTGATTCTTATCAGCAGTGCTGTATCAGCATCTCATCACAAGGGTGATGTGGGAAACTTTCCACTAAAAAAACTTAGCATTTTATGAGGGCAAAATTCTCCTTCCTTTTTTTAAAACCCCATGGGAATGTACTGTTGAGAAGTTTGACATGATTTAATCTGTGGTCTTGAGAGGGTAGAGAGATTCATAAAAATAGGCCAGCTTAAAGAAGTCGCCTCTCCTTCTTAGGCATATTTTATAGGATACGAAAAAATTATACTCAAGTTTAAAACCATTTTAGAGTCATTTTTATGACAACACTATTGCTTTTTTAATTCTTGGTATATATCTTGTTATTAATTATATGCAGTTTCCACATTAGATTGATTGAAAAATATTAATAGAGTTGTCAGAAATTATCCATGAATCCGAAACTTTTCTATATTGTAAATACATTTATAAAGCAAAAGCTACCATTTGCTTATTAATTACTGTATATGATATATTTTAAGCTATCTTCATCCTTACAATAGTTCTACTCACTGATGTTCCCATTTTACAGATCCTGAAACTGAGGTTCAGAAAGGGTGAGAAATGTGCATAATCTTCTTTAAGTATCCCTTAACAGGAACATTAGTTTCCTATTACTGTCACACAATTGCTACAAATTTAGCACTTACTAAAAACATATTCTCCTAGTTCTAGAGGTTAGAAGTCTTCAGTGAGCCTTGAGGAGCTGCAATTAAGATGTGAGCAGAACTAGTTCCTTCTAGAAGCTCCAAGGAAGAAGGCCTTCTCCTCTTCGATAATTAAATCTTCCTCTTACCTCCTCTTCCAAGCACATACCTGGACAATTCAGGATAATCTTCGCATTTGCACAACTTATTTTGTGACAAAAACTGACATGTTTTCGGGTTCCAGAGACGAAGGTGTAGATGTTTGGGGGACTTTATTAAACTTCATTAGACTTCTTAAGTCTAAGAAGCCTTGAGGGTGTAAATGTGTTCTGTGTTGAGTTGCTAACTGAACATTTGGCAGTTCAAATCCACCAGGAAGTCCCTGGGAGAAAGATTTTACAGCCTGAGAGAGACCATGAAGGGTCACCATTTACTGGAACTCTCTTGAGGGCAGTGAGTATTATTAATCTCAGAGAGCCCTTGTGGACAGTGGTTACCACATTTGGCTGCTAGTTGAAAGCTTGGCAGTTGGGTCCACAAGAAAAGGGTGTGGCAATTTGATTTTCTAAGATTTATACTCTGTGGAGTATTTATGTGATTTATACTAAAGGAAGCAGCTAAGAGTCAAATGGGCTTAATAACAATGGAGGGTTTTGGTTTTGGTTTATTATTTAAGTCTGCTGTGGGCATGATTGACATTTTTGGTGAGAGAAAAACTCTTTATATTGCCTTACACAACAAAGGGATTCCAACATCTCTGGAGCTCACCTCACCACAGGCCATCAAGCCTCCATATCCTCCCGTCCCCTCAAACTCCAATGATTGTAATAATCCCAAACACCACCCTCAGATATCCACATGGCCCCTTCCCCAGTGACACAGTACCACCATAGTTAACTGGTTCGGTGGTAGAACTAGGTATTAACCTAGGACTTTTGATTGTGAAACCCTTTACACTATGCTGTATTGTATCATTCATTGTCTTTTTTCCACATAAGTGTGCCTGAGCACTTTAACATCCCTTAATCCACAGTAGTTTGAATGGACACCATTACGTCAACTGAGCTTCACTTCCACCCTCTCTTCCTCTTCCCAGAATGCCTTCTTTTGTAAATGTTTAGGCTGTTGTGTTTCTTTGTGTCCAGAAGAAGTTGGCTCAGTTAGAATCTCTGTAAAATTCATTACTGCTGTATGAATTTCTCTGTTTTGCTAAAATCCTAGAAGAATTTTGAGCGAGGACTACTTGCACCTTCTCATTCTCCAGGAATTTATTTTTACACCTTGTCTCAATCTGGGTACAAATTTTCTGTGGGTACAAAATTATATAGTGCAAAAAGCATAGAGGTGTGAATTCTAGGCAGTTTGCTATGCAAGCAAATAAATTAGCACTTCAGGAAGTGTCAGAAAGCCTGGGGAGGACTGTTCTGATGAATGCCAATGTAAACTTTTCTCAACAGAATGATGAAGAAGATGCCTGAATATGGGAAACTTTGTCTTCGACCTCTTTCAGGCTGGTAGAAACGAGGAGCTATCTGCAGCCTATTAAGTGAAGGAATAATTCAGGTTCCTTGATGGTTTTTCTTCTAGTTTGCTCTCCGAGATGTTTTAGATTCAGACTCAAAAGTCACTTAACAATACATTAAAAATTATAGCTATGTACCTAGAAAAAAAATTAGCCAAAAATTAAAAAAAAATAGATGGAAACAAATGACACCTGGCTAATAAGAATTGAAATAAAACCCAAAGATGTTGGTTGGTTTATGAAGCTTCTGAATGGCAGACGGCTTGTGATTGCATTGATAAAAATTTGTGTTATGTTTTGAGAGGTTTGAAGAGAACATTGTGCGGTTCTAGCTTTACTTGTACCTGAAGAGTTCTTCCCATGTGCAGATAATTTACATCCTTCTCTTCTACAGACTATTATGTGGCTGTTTACTTACCTGGCTATTTCTTTCATCTACTTAACATTCAACACCCGGACTTGATCTGCCACAGTCTGTTTCTGACAGGTACGGTGGTAATCTTTTTTTTCTTTCTCCATAGACGTGATCTGTTTTTGTTTGTTTTGATATTTAGATTGAGATTTATTTGGATGGAGTTGTTGATTTTTCTGTTTGTTTGATTTGGGGCCAGGAAAAAGTGAAGTGATTGCTCTCCTACCTCCTGGCCCTTTACAGTCCCTGTCAGGGTCTCTGGTACTGGACTGGCATTCTGGAAAGCTCTACCGAGCACTCCTCAGCCAGCCGTGCCTGCTGCAGCTCCTGTGGAACGCCCCCCTGGACTGTGAGAAGATGGGAGCACTGCACTGCATGCTGTCCTGGGGCAGAGACTCACAGTTCCTGGAGGCCCAGGTGAGAAGGGCTAAGGTTTAGAATCTGACAAATAACAGAACATCGAGTTTCTTTTAGTGGTTGGAAAACAAAAAAAAAAAGCCAAACCTATTGCTGTCAAGTCAACCACAACTCATAGGGAACCTGTTATTGTTGTTAGGTGCCGTTGAGTCGACCGTGACCCACAGCAACCCTGTGAGAAGCAGATTTGTACCCTTCCCTTTCCTCACTGTCCTCAGTCACTGTGTCAATCCATCTTATTAAGGATCCTCTCTCTTTCTGGCTCTCTGTTCCTTATCAAACATGATGTCTTTTCCCAAGGATCGGCCTGATCTTGTAGGAAAGAAAAAAAAACAAACCCACAACAAATCCTATTGTCATCAAGTAGATTCTAATTCACCAAAACTTTACAAGATGATTTGAACTGCTGGATAGAGTTTCCAAGACTGTAATCTTTATGGAAGCAGAGGGCCTTATCTATCTCCCTTGAAGCATCTAATGGGTTCCAACTGTTGATCTTTCAGTTAACAACTATGCACTTACCTTGAAAAAACAACAGAAATTACCTTTATTTTGTTGTTGTTTCCCCCGTTGAGTCAAAACCAACTCATGGCTGACCCTCCAGAAGATTTTCAGAGGCAGTTAATCACATGGGAGGAGATTGCCCATCCTTCTCCTGAGGAGCAGCTGGTAGATTCAAACCATGTGCCTTCAAGATTGCAGTGCAGTTTCTTACCACTAGGCCACCAGAGTTCCCTTTTATTTAATTACATCTGAGCTTTATGTCCTCTGTCCCAACTGAAAATAAGTTCTTTTTCTTTTATGTGGCTTCTTACCAGAGAGCAAACTAAGGGCATGTCTATCCATTTGAATGCTCTTTTCTGTACTATGAATAAATATTTAACCAAGTCAGTAGTATTCCAAAATTTTACTCCACAAATAATGACTTTCTCAGATCTACTTTGTCTCCCCTGGTCTGCCTTCATTGTAAATCATCACAAGGGCTGAAATGTGGGGGCAAACATTTATTACTCAAATTAGTAACAATAACTTGCGTTTATGTTACACAGTATGGTTTATAAATTATTTGGAATACTGACTTTAGATTTTACAGTAGCACTGTGAAATCAGAGAAGCCCTCTCATCACACTTACTTGCAAAAGCAAACGAATGCCTTAAACATTTAATCTTAACCCAGAACACAAAAATGCACATTTGATGTAGGTGAAAGCTCTTTGTGTGTGTGTGTGTGTGTGTGTGTGTGTGTGTGTGTGCATTAGCAGGTTTGTTTTTCTTTCATAAAACAAGTAGCAATGGGTTATCTCTGGGTTCCTCTTAAAAGTCTTAATTCTTGTTTTTACAGAGAACACCAATAAAGAAGAGTAAACTATCCTTCCAGTGCAATCTGTAAAATACTCTTGACATTTTTCCTAGTTGTTCTTTAGTTGTCTCACTTGTCTTTTAGGTTGTTTTTGTGGTTTTTTGGTTGGTTTTTTCTTAAGAGACATGCTTCTATTGAGTCTTCCCAAAATGTCCAGTTTAAACTTTATTGACTTCTAAGTAGCCTTTTGCACCTATTTTTAATTTATTGTTGTTATGTGCTTCAGAGCCAAATCTACTTATACCTAAGTCACCAGCAGATTTTTCAGAGGCAGTAAATCGGACAGGAGTTTGCCCATCTTTCTCCTGTAGAGCTTCGAATCAGGTGCCTTTGGGTTGGCAGTGCAGTTCCTTACCACTAGGCCACCAGAGCTCTTTTTAACTTATAGTTACATCTTATTAAATTTACCTGTGACAATCCATACAGGCATAAATATATTTGGGAATAGAAAAGTTTACTGGAAGAAGCAGAAATGCGAGGGTCTGAGTCAGTACACCTGTGTGAGGAACTGAGCATTTCACTCTTCTAGCAGGTTTGATTGAATGAGTTGTTGATAGAACAAAGATTATTTTTCTTTTAAGCAAGCCTTGGTAGCACAATGGTTATCAGGTGACTGACTGCTAACCAGAAGGTTGGATGTTCAAACCAACTAGCTATTTTACGAGGGAGCTCTGGCGGCTTCTTGTTGTTGATTGTCTTCAAGTCAAGCACGACTCATAGTGACCCCATGAACAAAACGTCTCAAACCTTTCTATAACTATCGACATTTATCAAAGTTCATAGAGTTTCCAGAGGCATGTTGTTTAGGAAGTGGATACTATTCCTGCATCCAACCTGGTGGCTTAGTGGTAAAGAATTACACGAATTACAATACCAACACAAAGGTATGCATTTTGAATCCACCAGCTTCTTCAAGGGAGAAAGATAGGCAGTCTCCCTTGTGTGAATTTACGGCTTCTAAAAACCCATGGGAGTCAGTTCTGACTTGATAGTATCCACAACAGCTACTTCAAGGGTGATAAGACCTAGATCTGGAGACCAGGGAGATGAGACCTAGTGATCTGCTGCAGTGAAGATTACAAATCAGGAGGCCCCAGAAGATGGTCCTGTTTCTTATAGTGTTGCTGCATCAGTGTTGATTTGATAGCCCCTGGTATGACATTGTTCATCCACACCGACAGATAAACTGGAATTCACACCCTTGGCCACCTGCATCCACAAGGTTACTACTGGTTTGGCTTTTGTGTTCACCTGTATCCTACAGTTTTCACTCACTGGTGTATCCCATGACACGACCTGACCTACTGAAACAAGCAAACAGTGGGATTTGGATCCTAACCAAGTGCATTTCTTTTTAAAAAAATATGTAAAAGAGACCTCATTACAATACTATTTTACCAATATAATCTTTCATTATCTTGAAAATAATGCTGAGGTGAGTGCCTTCTTAGGTCATTCCAAAATAGACAAAAATTTGGAAAATAGTGTTATATATTTGTACTTTGGTGTTGGGAGGCGAGCGAGGCTGGGGAGGATGGTGTGGAGATCTGCATACCAACAGAGTCCTGTCTTCTTTTATTTTTCAAAAGATTATTCAGTGGATTTCTGAGAACATCTCTGCCTGCCATTCATTTGACCTTATTCAGGAATTTCTAATTGGTAGGTGTTGCTGACATTGCCTGTTAGGCTGCGTGCTTGACCCCTTTGCGTGAGGAAAGGTTGATAATGCCTCAATCTGTCAAAATGTTGTTTAGAAACGACTTTTTTTAAAACTCTGCAGCAGTTAGCAGCTAATTAAATTTCTTACTCTTGTGGTTTTGTGAGTAGCAGCAACTGTTCAGACTGATGAGATGTGATCCTTATTAGTTAATTTTTTTTCCACTAATAAGATACACCTTTCTTAGCCCAGTTTTCTGTTTCTTGGTCGGTTCTATATAGTTTATAAGAATCTCCTGCTTTTTGAAAGTTCACATTAACTTGCTTTTTGGAAAGCTCTACCTTTGTACCTGTTTTCACTAACCGTTTCCAAAATCCAAAGAGATTTTCACTTATATGGAAAAGGTGAAATGAGCTTTCAGGGTTTGTTTTGCAGGGAGCTATTGTTTTTTTGTTTTGTTTTTACAGAGGTTTTGGATTTCCATTCATTCATTGCCTCAATTTTCTCCCTGTCCACCCCTCCCCACCAGCTCTCTTCCCCCTCCGAAGAGAGAAAAAAAAAAAAAATCATTAGTATACAATTCCCACGTCCCTTCCCCTCACCCCCCACCCCAAGTACACTTCTCTATGCAACCTTAATTCTGGATTCCTGCGCTAACCATAATACTCAATCATATATCACTTCTAATCTGTTCTTTCCCTCATCTGTTTCAATACAATATACGTAGTTTATCCAGTTTTTTCTGTCATACCCCCACCCTGATGTCAGACCCATTCTACAACAGTGGCACCATGTAGTATTTGTCCCTTTGTGACTGAGATATTTCACTCAGCATAATGTTCTCCAGGGTCACCCACTTTGAATAATATTGCATGAGTGCAGGGAGCTATTGTTAAAGAGGCAGTTAGGATCCCAAATAGTGGGAGTGGGGCTCCAAGCTCCTTCCCCAGGGACTATGCTCTACACACATTATGTCTACTTTTTTCTGTGTTTATCATGTCAATCCTACATTTATTATATGATAGAGGCTTTAGGTTTTGTTACTTGGTATCATCTGGTAGGTTAATTTTGGGGTCTGGGAATGCTCAAAATTGTTTCCATATAAATAATTGGTAATTACTTCTTTGCTTTAAGCAATTGTGATTTATGAAGGTTTCACCAGCAGGCTCTAATTTAGACAGCAGGGGATACCTGTAATGTCATTTGGGTAGAAAACCACACCAAAAAATGTTTTAAAAATTATCCCCACTGTGAAAATGGCACAATTAAAGGCAGAACCTGGATTTCTTAGTCAATAGATAAAATAATAAAGGTTATTCTTTTGAGGATGAAGAATAAGGAAATGAAAACTTTTGTTGGTCTGCTGTCTTACTCATCTTTTTAAAAAAATTCTATTTCTTTTTCTGAGCTGATAATACATTATATTTTTTTAAACATTTTTTTAAATGTAAGCATTGAACAGTTATAGATTCTTTAAAATTGTTATTTTTATTAAATTATTTCCTCTTTTTGTTTTCTTTCAAAAATATACTTAGCTTCTTCATATTGGAGCATATGTCCGGAGACGAGTAATATAGATAAACTGATTCCACATTCCTCAGTGCTCACTTGGATTTCAGTAAGTTAACACTTTGTACTTTGTGTTTGCAGTTAAAATAGATTCACTATTTTGGGTCAGATGTAGCACATTCCTGTCACAGTAACCAAGGCTAGGTTTTCATTTCTGTGTTAACTTCTAAGGAAATGGATTGGAATTTTATGCCAGAAAAAAGGTAGGTAGTCTCTACCTTTGGTCTAAGGTGTGTTTACACATAACAAATGTATGTTTACATACAGCAAAGATGTGGTGCTGAGTGCCGGAGTCAAATTCTGATTCATAGTAATCTCACTGGACACCGCAGAACTGCCCCCTAAATTCTCCTAGGTGGTGATCTTTGTGGGAAGGAGTACTAGTAGCATAATGGGTTAGGAGTTGAGCTGCTAGCAAAAAGATTTGTATCTACCAGTGCCTCTGTGGGAGAAAAATGAGCAGTCTAAGATTTATTGGCCCAGAAACCCCATGGAAGGGGGTCACATGAAGTGAAATTGTCTTACAGTGGGTTTCATCTTGAGCATATCTTTCTAGAGGGCAGATCCTGAGGTCCTTTCTCCTACAGAGTCTCTGACGAGATCTAACTACTGACCTATCAGTTAGCAATGATTGAATGCTTAATCAGTGTACCACCAGGTACAGGCAAAGGTGTATAGACATATAAAACATTTCATTTAAAAGAGAAGGCACAGGAAATTTGTTATTTTTCCTTCTAGTGGATAGAATTAAATCTGTGTTATGCTAAAATTATAGATCTATTTTAATAGATACTTAATAACATTTTAACATAATACTAAAAACATTTTTTTATTTTAGTTACCCTCAACTCAACCCATTGCCACCAAATCAGAACAGACTCAGAGCTGACCCTGCAGAGGGTTTTGAAGGCTATCTCTCTATCTATATATTGCTTGAGAGGAGATTGTCCGTCTTCCTCCTTTAGAGCTGCTGGTCGATTTGAACCACCAGAGAGGTTGGCAGCACAACCCATCAGAGCTCAATTTTTAGGTCCTAGCGTGGATTAGGATGTTATTGTTGTTGTTGTTATGTACCATCAAGTTAAAAGCAACCCATAGCTGACCTTCCAGTGAGTTTTCAGAGGCAGCAAATCAATCACAATCCATCTTTCTCCTGCAGAGCTGCTGATGGATTTGAACCACGTACCTTTAGTTTGTTAGCACAGCTCCTTACCACTAAACTACCAGAGTTCCCTGGATTAAGATATTACTAATATGGCTAAAGCTAATAGGGATTAAGATATTAGTATTATGTTTTCATGGTTTTTATTAATAATGAAAAGCAGGACCGCTGGTGCTATTCTGAGCTGTTTTACTGACTGCTCGGGTCAGCACCTTCATTTTCCCAGCCCCGTAAGGAAACATTTCAGTTTCCTTACACCTGATCAGTAAAGTTAACAATCTTAAGCAAACACACTCATGAAGTCTAGTTTTCCTGTCAGTGCAGACTCTCCTTTTTAATTAGAAAATGCTACGGTCAAACATCATTCATTGTCTCTTCAACATTATGCAATAAATCATGTTTTGTTTGACCAAAACCTACATAAATCTGCCTTGGAAATACAGCCACTTCTTCATGTGTTTAATGTTAGAACTACTGACTTAATTTGAGACAGAGATTTGTATTATCCATAGTTTTGCAATAGTGAAAAATTAAAGAGCTTCTGTAATATTAACCAACAGAGTGATATGATTAGAAACAAATGATAAAAAAAAAAATACCCGGAAAAGTAAACGTTAGATAACCTAGACATAGAAAGAGACACAGTAAGATAATGCACTGCACTTCCTGCTTTATATTTAGGTTGTTTCTAGATACAGTTCTCAAAAAGGAAGCATCATGTATGTTTGAGGCTTGCTAAAGATAAAATGAATTCCTAAATTTGTGGTACATAGAACAGTAGGGTTTTCTTTATTCATATCTTTTACTCATAGTTACTGAATTTTCACAAATTGTAAGGGAATTAACAATTGTAAGACTATAAGGGGATAGTAGTGTTTATCCCGTCTTGTCTGTTGTTTATCCCTTGCTTTTGTCTCTTAAGAACAATGAGAACAAATGATGACTGTAGAGGCAGCTGGTGTGGTAAACTGTGTGGGTCACACAATGTGGGGTCAGGAAATGCACATCTCAGCTTTACCCCCTCCACCTACGCCTTTGTGCTCTGTGTTAAAACCACACCCAGAGGCCAGCCTGGACCGCTTGTTCCAGGGTTCTTGTTTGAAGGAGGAGTGCATCCTGTTAATAGGTTGACCTTTTGAGAGTGTGGTACTCCCAGCTTTCTATTTCTCACAGCTTTGTAGGGTATACAAGCTGTGGAAATACAGAGCGACAATAGGAAGTCCTATGAGAAGAACAATATTAAAAACCCCACAGCTATAACCACCTCCTACTGTGCTTTTTTAAAAAGGTTTACCATGTTGCTTTAAACTTCTTGTGGTTGGAATAGTTTATCTTAAACATCTCTTTTAATTCTGAAATCTTTAGTTGTGATGTAAATCATTTACTTTTCCTTTCTCTAATCCTACAGTGTTCTTAATGTTGTATCTTTAAGAAAATCTTAACCACAATAGAAAGCTTAATTTCACACCTCTTCTGTATGGAAAAAGGGTATTTCTGTAAATAACTAGAAAGTATGGTCTTCTTACACAGAGACAAAAGATAATCTTGAATTAAGTTTTGCAAACAACTAGTCTTGTTATACTTATTTTGCTACTCTTAACCTAAAGCTGTAGTTAAATTTTAATGCATATTTAAAATGCCCTCTATTACAGAGTAGTCATAAGTGAAGTACACAAAGGGTTATTATTATTATTATTTGTATTTATTAAGATAGCTTTCTCTCCAACAATTTATACATATTGTGCATTGTAACACTAGTTACAGTCCCCTCAGGCTAACAGTGCTCTTTCCACGTCCTCTCTTGGTTTCCTGGTTACACATGTCCATTCCCCTCTCCTTTCTTTCCTTCTGAGCTTTGCTTTTAGGCAAATGCTGCTCTTCTATGTCCTCTGTGGTTGGTCAGTCGAGAAGAACATTACTCTCAGGTGTCCTTGTTCACTTTATAGGCCTGTTTGTTGTTTGGGTAAATGGTGTTTCCACAAGAGTGAGTTTAGTTCTGACTTGAAAGAATGGCTAAGAGCCACAGTCTTTGGGCTTCCATCATATTGCTCATAACTCTGGTCTTTCTAGAATTCTGAATTTTGTTCTGCGTTTTTCTTCTGCTTTGTCCAAGACTTTTTGTTGAGATACCTATCAGAGTGGTCAGTAGTGGTGACAAGGCACCATCGAACTCTGGTCTGGTGGAGGCTTTGGTTTATACAATCCATTAACCCTTTGGACTCATTGTTTCCTTAAAGATGTGATTTCTTCCCTCTTCTTTGTTCTGGATGAGAAGAGAGCAGTAATAACTTAGATGACTGTTTGCAAGCTTTAAAGACCCCAGTTACCACTCACCAAAGCGCAGTGTTGAACATTGTCTTGATGGACTACGTTACACCAGTTGATCTGGATGTCTTCTGAGACTGTGGCTCTCACATAGTAGTAGATTATCATCACAGATTATTACTGTTCTGTAGTGAACTCAGTTGCTTGAATGCTCTGTAAATTTATTTCTTCATGACTGCGGGAATATTGCATATTTATAAAACCTGGTCATTTACATTCTGAACAATTACTAGTTTTTATTGTGACATTAATACCTTTTTAACATTTTGCAATGTATCATTTGCTTTTTAGGAATAAGCTCTGGTGGCCTAGTGGACAGGGAGTTGTGCTACCAACCCAAAGGTGGGCTAATCCATCAGGTGCTCCTTGGGAGAAAGCTGGGCAATCCCCTTCCATGTGACTTGCAGCCTGTGAAAACTTGGAGAGGGTCAGTTATGATTTAGTTCAGACTCAATGGCAATGAGTTAGTTTTAGATTTTATGAAATGAAATTGATATTGCCTAGAAGACAATCTATTATACATAATTGACATAGAGACTCAGGTTCTGAAAATAACAATGAATAAAGGGCAATTTTGGAAAACTATCTTTTATTTGGGGAACCCTGGTAGTGCAGTGATTGAGAGCTCAGCTGCTAACCAAAAGATAGATGGTTTAAACCCACCAGCAACTTCTTGGAAAAGAAAGATGAGATTAATGGCCCTGGAAACCCAGAAAACTGATCTGCTCTGCCTGGAGGTTTAATAGTCTCTGTGAGTTGGAACTGACTTGAAGGCAATGGGTTTTGTTTGTTTGGCCTGTTGACACAAACAGTCTAACACTCAGCTTCTAACTCAGAGGTTAGCCGTTGAAACCCACTCCACGTCTCTGCGGGAGCACTAACCTACCAAACCTTAAGCGGAACCCTACCCCTACCCCTACCTGACCTGCTTCCACGAAAATTACAGCCAAGAAGAGCCAAAAGGCAGCTGTACTCCGTCCTATTAAGTCTATTCTCTGTGAGTTGAAACTTGACTTGACAGGTTCTAACAATGACAACATCCTGTGTTTGATTTTCGGCTTTAATGCTGCCTGGTTAATTGAAGATTCATCACTTCACTTCCTCATAGGAACAGCGCACCTTTCCCATTTGCCATGGTGAGAGTGCTGACAGACTGTGGAGAGCTCTTATCTTTGAAATTATGGTGCAGGATAAGGTGCAAAAAATTTTTCCATAGAGTCGTGTACAAATCCCATTGACCTCGTTTCCTTTCCAAGGAGGCTGAGGCCAACTGCGATATATTTAAAGTGAAAGAAGAGGAGGGAGGGAGGGATTCAGATCCCAGAACCTTTCCCCCTTAACATGGTGTTTGACGGTACTGATGTGGTCCACCTCATTTGTTCTTAAGTAGAAATGTGTACAGGCTGAGCTGTTAGCTCAGTGTATCTTCACGATAGACTTTTTCTTTCTTTTGGATCCTGTCAGTTATTTAATGGTGACTTTAAAGAATATTTCCTGTCCTGGGACAGGAGACCGGCTGCATGTGTTCTCTGTTATTTATATACTCTGAGGTTTATTTAAAGCAGAGGTTAGCAGGCTGGAAACTGCCCTCAGCGAGAGAGCAGGACTGCCAGCAGCTTGTGTCTGTGGGGAAAGCATTTCCTCAAAGGCCTGAGCTCCCGGTTGCTGATGTATTTAGCAGGTTGTATGTATGTTTCTCCACCACAGGAAATTCCTGGAATAACCCTCATGACAGAAGAGATTGCACTGCCTCTTATGAAGGTACGTCCCTTACACTGAGGCCAACAGCCCAGGTTATCTTGGCTTCCTTGCTTGTCTCCGTGCTCCATCTACAGTTCAACTGCAGCCCTGTGTTTCCTCATCTCCCAAAGGCATTGAACACTTCCAGGAGGGTTGTGGGCCCGACAGTACGGGCTGGTTCGCTAGAGGATCCTTTCTAAATCAGTGAGTGATCTCTGAGTGAGTCCACAGATGGTGCTGACAGGGTTTGACCGCCAACTGAGAGATTGGTGGTTCAAGTCTGCCCAGAGTAACTTGGAAGAAATATCTGCCAAGCTACAACTGAAACATTAGCTAGTGCAAACCTTGTGGAGTGCAGCCCTGCTCTGACACACATGGAGTTGCCATGCGTTGGAATCGACTTGACAGCAACTGATTTTGCTTTGTGTTTTAGTCATCGAGTATGCTATTATAGCCATTCTCTGCAGGAGGACTTTTTCTGATGATAGGAGAAAATTACAGGGCTCAACTTAAACCATACAGACTAGGACTTGACACCACCCTGCAAACCAGCCTGTCCTGGAATTCTTGCAAATTCTCTGTAAAGATTGGGTAGCCTTCATTTGTGTTGTTACTCCCTCAACATGACACACCCCCCCCACTCATGCACATATGTCCACCCACACATCCACGCGCACAGCCTTCAAATCGTAAAGCCATTAAGTAAGCCTGAGTTGGGATTATCTAATTTCCTTCTGGTTCTGAGAAGCATTTTTCTGTTTTGTAAGAATGGCCTGTGTCGGCTCCCTCATGGTCTCAATCCAGCCGCTGTGCACCTCCCTCCTGCCTGCTGCCCTGTGGCTGCTGGTGTCTTTCTGCAGCCCAGTGGTTTCAGAGCGCTCTGTGAGCACAATGGGCAGAATAGGGTGGGGTGGGCTGAGTAGAGAAGAATATGTTCAATACTGGGGGGTGGGGTGGAGATATTTGAGCGCAGCTTCCTTGAAGCTCCTTTGTGGGCTTGGGCACCACTTCCTGTTAATTATAACTTGGTGTGGACTGGGAAATCTCAACTTTTGGCAGCAGGCAGCTCACTGAGTTGCTGCCTGTTACTTGCATTTGGTTCTTTTTTTTTTCCCCAGATGCATGATTTCCAGGCCAGGCCTGGATGCTGGGGAAAGCCATGGGCATCTGCGGTCACCGTGATACATTGGGAGTGAGAGAGGACAGATGGTGGGGTTGGGGTCAGCTGTCTGGGTTTTGGTCCTAGCAGATTTCCTTAAAGATACACTAAGCAGCTAGGTCTCTAGCAAAAGGCTTGGAGCATGGTGAAGCCCCACTAAACTCTTTGAGGAAGAGCATAGAAAGGGTTTTACTGATAGTTTCGTGTTGTTCTATGCCACAGAGTCAGAGCTGATCCTCCAGAGGGTTTTCAGGGGCTGGAAACTGCACAGGAGGAGATTGCCCATCTTTCTCCCATGAAGCTGCTCGTGGATTCAAACCACCTGTCATGGAGTTGGCAGCACAACTCCTTACTGCTAGGCCACCAGAGCTCCCTTGTTAATAATTTAAAAGGCTCTTATTATGAGACCCCCCTCTTTCATTATCTCTATAAAAATTGTAGTATATTTAGTGAATAAGTAACCAACTAGTTAAGACCTTTTTAACAACCATTCTCCACAGTTCTCTAGTTCCTAGCTTGCCCATTTCCCCCAATTTCCTTTTGCTGTTTATTAGGGGTATGCATATTTTGCCCAGCTGAACTAGAAACCTGGAAACAGTTTATGAATATCACTAACTATATTATTATAGCACATTACTGTAATATCAGGTGATGCTGCAACATAGACTTCATAATTAGGATTTCTAATCACTGAATATAGAGAACTCTGGTGACCTAGTAAGAAAGAGTTGTACTGCCAACCCAAAGGCATGTACTTTGAATCCACCAACTGTTCCATGGGAGAAAGATGAGCAGTCTCCTCCTGTGTGACTCTGAAAACCCACTGGAGGGTCACCTGGGAGTTCGCTCTGACTTGCAACATATAACAACAATCACTGGATATGGATCTACTGATTGACTTCCAGAAGGGCTTAGTTCTCAGGAGAGGACAGACAGTACTGAGTTTGATTTGACCAGGGTCCTGCCACACCCCCTGCCATCCTCATCAGTCAGCCCAGTACCTAATCAGGATTTTCCAGCTCATAGGATAACTGGCCTTGATACCTATTTCGCTTCCCAACCACTGCTTGCGTCAAACCATTTCCTTTCTGTGTCTCTGCCTCTGACCTACTTCTCTACCCCTGGTCCCAGCTTAATTATTTTGCAATGGGCTTGGTGGCAGTCCCCGTCCCTGTGCCTCCCTCCCACACCCCAGTTGTGTGGCTGTTCTTGTCATGCTTCCTTGCTCTTAGCTCTGAAAATTGGAATCACCAGTTACCTTTAGGATGTGTGATGGCTTCTTGTGGCCGGAAGGAGCACTTCTTACCTACTATTTCTGCCCTGTGATGAGTTGGTTAGGAAATGGCAAAATGAAACCAGAGATGCGCTTTCCTCCTGCTAACTCTGCAAATCATTTTAGCATGAAGTGGAGCACTGCAAATGCTTAGGATATGAAAACATCAGCGTGCATAAACCACCTAAATGAGAAGTGTGTTACCGGAAAGACAGAATCTTCCTCATTTATAGAGTGACTTCCCAAAGCAGTTTGTAAAAACATGACAAAAAGAGACGAAGACCCTCAACCAGACGGATGGACACCGTGGTCACAACAATGGTATCGAGTTTGGCGGAGATGGTGCAGATGACAGAGGACAGGGCAAGTTTCCCATTTGTTGTTCATAGAGTAGTCGACTCGCTGACACTAACAGCAACAAAAACATCGGTTGTTGAAGCTTCTAGAAGGTAAAAACTTGGGCTTGATTTTATAATGAAAAGAGAACCCATGAAGGCTGGCCAACCAAGGAAACATTTAGGATTAAAAGAAAATATATAAGCAGTGAAAACCATAACTTCTTAAATAGAAAGGTGAAGGTCAAATGAGCATGCTGTGATTGGAGAAACAGAGTATTTTCCCCAAAGAATTTAAGTCAAACATCTTTAATCACTTGATTAGATTAGTAACTACTTGACACAGAAATCAGGAAAGCCAGAAAGATTGAATGCTTTTTTTTTCTGGTACTCACTGCCCCACCGTGGCCTCTCAGAAGCAGAAGCATGACTGCCTACAACCATCCTGAGGATTAGGAAGAAAGTAGGTGACACCCCAACTTCTCTCTATCCAGAGCTATGCTTGATCCGTTCCAAAATATTTAAAAATATGGTTTAACTGAATGGACAGGAGTATAACTAATTACTCAGTGAAGCATCAGCAACACTCCCCCCTCATCCCTCAACTACTGATGATTGCAGTCACTTAATAAAAAAAATTTGCTAGAGATCACCACAATCACAGAGTAATTATTTATAGTTTTAAACGCTAGCATTGTGGTTTTGACAAATTCTGTACACATTTTCTTGGGGCAGTGAGTATCATTTATATTCTAACACCTTATTTAATAATGCTGCAAAGTAGTCCTGCTTTTTAGAAACAGGCTATCAGGCTGATGGGTTTGTTCCTCTAGAGACACACATACCTTCAGTCTACTCCCAGATGGTGAAATTGAGGACTAGACACAGGGCCAAAGGTTCTTCCTCTTGTTCTGCTCCGACCAGCCACTACGTTGTGCTGTTCGTACTCATCGTTTTGGTTGAGGATGTAGTGTTTCCTTCGTGAAGTTGAAAGGCAGGAACTGACATTGACTGTCTCAGGATGTATGCTGATTAGAACAATTTGTTACATATAGTGATTTCATAAAAACAAAGTCTATCTCATTCAAAATGACTACCAAAACCACCCCACTGAGCCCAAAAGAGGGATTTTTGTGAAATATTGAGGGACAAGAGGAAATCTATTTATAAACAAGACACTTTGCAGTTGCATTGTGTCATCTTTCCATGCAGGCTAAGGGTTCCCAGCCCTGGGCCTGTGCACAATGGTTACATTTTGCTTAGAGCATTTTGGCTTAAGATGGTGCTAGTTTTATGGACCAGAGTTAACACGATCATTGCTGACTGAAAGGTTGGACATGCCAGTCCACCCAGAAGCACCTCAAGAAAAATCAGCTGTTTTGCTCTGACGCACATGGAGACACCATGCATTAGAAAGGACTGATTTTAGGGAGCTCTGGTGGCCTAGTGACAAGAAGCTGTGCTGCAATCCCAAAGGCACTTGGTTTGAATCCACCCAATACTACACTGGAGAAGGAGGGGCAATCTCTTCCTGTGCCAGTTGGATCTGATCCAATTTGAGGGTGCACAACAAAAATAATTAAAAAAATGACAGGTTTTGCAGATGTGTGTATGTAGGTGTGTGATAGCGGGATACAGTATTTCTTTGGGCTGCCAGTAAAAGCTGATCCAGAGATGGGGTCCATTCAGGAGCCAAACTGGACAGACGCCCTCGCTCTGCTGGCTCAGCACTGGCACATGGAGTGAAGGGTTCTCTTCAAGTTGGCTTCCTCCCTGTAAGAAGATGCTGGTTAATGAGCAGAAGTGGGACTGAAGCCAAGCAAGCCCTTTACAAATGGAAGGCAGATGCTTTCTACCCCTGGCTGTAATTCTGACAATGAACAAGTGCCACAGTGCCTCTTTTTTTTTTATTAAAAAAACCCACAAAAACCAAAAAGAACTCATTTGGCAATCCATGTTCTAAATAAGAAACAGCCCCTTAGTGTGGAATCCTTTGGCCCTTTTGTTAATTAATACTGGTAGTGAGCTGTCTTTGGGGGTATTGCATGCTATCCTAAGAAACCAAATTAGTTCGCCTCCAAAGAAGATGCTAGAAGTAATTTTTCTTCTTTTGACTTGAAATTTTAGATCTTCCCTTTATGTGGAAAAATTGTTCCTAGGTCATTCCTTAAGTCTTTGACAGCTTTTAACACCAGAAAATCCATGACCACTGAGTGGGATTTGGATTCATTGGCACCTCCAGACCTTAGTCCCACACTATAGGGTGGTTTTCCGACAGGGCTTCGGATAGTGACCCGTTGTTGAGAATTTGCCTTTCCACTCTGGATATACTAAAGTAGTACCAGCACTTTAACAATGGCTATGTAGGAATCACATGGAGATCAATGAGAATCATGGGAATCTATGAGAATCATTTGAGATCTGGTTAAAACATAGTTTCAGATTCATTATATCTGTGCTGAAAATGCACATTCTCCGCAAGAGACGGAACTTGAATGAACTGGTTTGAAGCCCTGGTTTCCAAGCCTATGTAATTTTTACAGGAAGATGGCTAGATGTCTCCCATGAGTGCCTGGTGGATTTGAACTACCAACTTTTTGGTTAACAGTTGAGAACTTCACCACTGCATCACCAAGCCTCTTAATCTAACACCAGTGTTGTTAGGTGCCATGGAGTCACCTGTGACTCATAGCGATCCTATGAACAAGCTATATAAACTTGACCTCTGATATGCTCAAGCCGTGGTTAGCAGTCACTGTGTGAGTCCACTTCACTGAGGATCATCTCTTTCACTGACCCTCAACCTCACACAGCGTGATGTCTTTTTCCAAGGACTGGCACCTCCTGACAGTATTGCCAAAGTCTGTTTCACATTTGAAGTCTCACCATCCTCGGTAAATTTGTGATTACTCTTCTTGGGAAGCATTGTTCAAGTTCTGACAAAGTGCGTTATTTGAAACACCACAAGTTACCTTTCAAGTAGTGAGGTGCTGCTTGGGCTGCTGTGGCTTCCACTTTACACGGTGGTAGTTCTCTGAAGAGGCCAGAAGCCAGCATATTCCAAAGGGCCAGCTCTGAAGAGGAGCGCTCTGCACTCTGAGGGCCAGCCTTAGGCCAACTGGTGAGATGGGACCTTTGGCTGTTAGAGTATGATTGTGTAGGTTCCACCTTCCTCCTCCTATCCTGGGTTACAACATCTCTGATTTCATCTTGGAACTACTTCATTCCCTGAGTTAGCAAACATACCAGTGTTAATTTAGTGCTGAGGATTCTTGCAGACGGGCCCTAAACCACCTCTTTAAGCATATCTCCTATTTAACAATGCAATCACAAGTGTTCAGACAGGCGAGCTCTTTATTAGCTTTTAAACCAGAGGTGTAGATTGAGTAACATGCTTGTGGGTGGGAGGGAGATTGCTGGGCTGTGCTCAAGCAGTGTTCTCAGTCCTGGCCGAACAACAGGAGCACCTGGGGAATTGCCAAAACTCGACAAGCTCAGGTCTGAACAGTTAAACCTCTAGGGATGGGACCCAGACTTTGTGTGTGTTTTGGTTGGTTTTTTTTTTTTTTAAGATCCCTATTGTTATGTGTTATTATCTGGAACTGACGTGTAGCTGCCCCTCTGGCAGGATCCTTCAGTTGGGGAGTGAGGAGTAGAAAGGTAGTTAGGGAGAAATCTTTTTTTTAGGGGCCACAGTGTGTGCTCACAGTGACCTTCGGACAGGTAGGCATGTGACCCGAGAAGGGAGAGTGGGAATGTCAACCTTTCCTCTCTTAGGAATAGCCTAGATGAACTGTGGCCCTGAGACTTCTGGGGCAAAGCCAGAAACCAAACCAAAACAACAGAAACTGCCACAAAATGACTCTTTGCCATCCTGTTAATAATTGTGACTCCTAGGCAACTGAGGGAGCTCAGGCAGTTAACCTAATGGCAGTTGGTTCAAGCCCACCGGCAGCTCCAGTGTGATTTACAGCCTCCAGAAGCCGGCTGAAAGGTCTCCTACGAGTTAGCTCCAATTGCAGTGACTCAGGGTGTGTGTTTGGGTAACAGGGCTGGCCACAAGATGTCAGTGTAACTCCAATTAGTAGTTATCTGGTTTTGGCACTTGGTCCCTGAGCCCAGACGTACAATAACAAGAAAGCTGTAATTAATTCTGTCAGGAACCTATTGCTGCCAAGAGTTTGCAAGATGGTTTTAATTTCTTTTCTTTTTTAGTACAAGGAAAGCCAAAGGGTGGGTTAAGGTACATTCCTTATAAATAAATGGTAAGGGAAAGCAAGAGTAGGACAAAGAGGAGTAATACCTGATTCCAGCATCCCTGCTTTCTCTGGAGATCACACTTTATTGGGAAAAAAGTTATTTTAATTTATTATTTCCCTTTTTAGAGATAAACAGATGTTGTTTTGACATGCATTTCAGCCTTTGAGAACAGCAAAGTTGCACTACTGTTTTGCCTCTCATGTGACTGAATTTGCTCTGGTGGCTTGTGTACTACCAGCCCAAAGGCACAGGTTTGAATTCACTAGTTATTCTGAGAAAGAAAGAAGGGTATTCTCCTCCCCTGTGATTTCCAGGCTCTGAAAACCTGCTGGAGTGTCATTATGAGTCAGCTCCTACGCCATGGTACAAAACAACATATTACTAATAATCTAAAATCCATTTTGAACCACTGTCTTTTATATCGCTGTCCTTCAATAAGAATTTGGATAAGGTGATAGTAAATGAACATAAAATATCCAGCTAAAGAGGAGGAGGAAGGGAAAGAATGACTTTTTTTTTTTTAGTACTTAATGTACAAAAAGCAAGATGGTGTTCACAACTTAAGTGCTGTTATCTAACTTCAGGTATTTTTCTTAATGGAAGGTATTTTATGCAGGAGCTCTTTCGTCTTGTAAGAAAACCAAACCAGCCACCACAGGAGGCATTGGCTTATTTCATTTTCTCGCTACACATTGTACTTCTGGCCCACCTCAAACCTGTTATAAATGCACAGATTTTGGCAAGAGAGTGTGTATCATAAATCTGTCTTCGCTGATTAAAACAGAACAACTTGTGTCAGTTATATTCCTCCATATTAAAGATGTATTAACATTGTTTTTTATTATTTTTAAATGATGCAATAGATAATTCTTGCTTCAGGGTAGTACAATCATGCCAATAATTCAGAGACCTAGCTCGAACTACAGCTGCATTCTGTTTTAGAGAATTTGACACAGGAATATCTTTGAAAGTACACAGTTAGAGGAAGAGTAAGCCTATCCCATCTGTCTCCAGTTTTGTGAAGGTTTTTCTGACAGAACATGGCATTGTTGACACAACCGAAGTCAGAGCAGTGGTTCTCTGCGGAGGAAATGAGTGGGTGTGTTTGACACAGTCTTCCCTGTTTAGGCTTAGCTCAGGGCAGCAGTGATTCTGGTTTGGGAAAATGAGCTGCAGCTCTTTTTGTTGTAAAAGAGGACTAGAAAATGAAGTGGGAAAGGCGAAGTTTTTTTAGGTCACTCAATTTTAGAATTCCTAACTAATTAGCACGAAGCCCCTCTTGAGGAGTATTTGCCTCAAAATGCAGCCACGTAGTACGGTGACATAATCACTTGAGAAAGTTTACCAGGTATGAGTATGAAGGATTCGCCTCAGAAAGGCTGTCATGCTTGAGTGTGAAGTATTCACCTCAGCAAGGCCACCATGTAGGAGTGTGGATGTAAAATTGATTCCATTCTCAGCAGGAGCCCTTTGAGTCACCAACCCTGTCTCTCAAACTCACTGATGTGTTTGTCTCCTGCAGGTGCACAGCTTTAAGGGCTATTGGGAAAAATTGAACAGCAATCTGGAGTACGTTAAGTACGCCAAGCCACACTTACACTACAGCAACAGCGTGATCAGGAGAGAGTGGAACAACCTGATCTCAGAAGAGGTGCGTGTGGGGTGGAGAACAGTGCAAGAAGTAAAAGCCCTATGCACGATCGTATCCAGGTGATACCCCAAAGTCACAAGGGCAACTCAGCAGCCCCCTCAGGGTCCAGTGTTTCTCCATGCTTGCTGTTGACCCCCCACTTGGCCAACCAGGGCTCTCCCAGGATCTTTTCCATCAAGTGAGATACAGAAGGGCATTAATGAACATACAGTGTGTTAAAAAGAATTCTAGGCTTACTTTCCAAGTCTCAAAGGTGTTTTCTTCATGGCTTGTGTAATTAAATATTGAATGGAAAAAAATCTAGATATCCTCACATTTGTGATTTTCAAGATGTGGCCCTGGTGGAGTGAGTGTAACTATGCAGGAATAGCAAAGAGGGGTCTCTCTGGGGAGGGGATAGTTCTGTGCTTTGATTGCAGTGGTGGTTATAGGAAAGTACCCATGCCATCAAATGACATAAAAATGTATAGACACAGATGGAACAGATTTTAATATTATATACTATAGTTAAGATGTAACCATTAGGGAAAACTGCATGAAGGGTATAGGGAATCTCTCTGTACTATTTTTGAACTTTCTGTGAATCCATATTAGTTTCAGAATAAAAAGTTGTGAGGTTTTTTGCTTGGTTTTTTTTCTTACATGAAGAGGTTTTATTACCATGGGAGCAGTGGTGGACTTATGTCCTAAAAAACCCCCGAGTTCCTAAAAGTATCTTTAAAAATGTATGTTTTCTGCTTATGTGGAAAGTATATTTCTTTACTTTAAGGCTCTTAACTGTACTGCTCTTTGTCTTCAGTCTGAAAAGTCACCTTTCATATCCTTGATGTCTTTTCACTTCTAGAAAACGGGGAAAAGAAGGTCCACAGCATATGTGAGGAATATTCTTGATAACGCAGCAAGGTAAAAGAAGTGCAAGGGCATTGTATCTCTAAGTGGTCATGCTTTTACAGTTACTCATTTGGCTGCGCCTGCCCCACTTCCTAGAGCAGCTTCCTTTTGTCCCTTTTCTCCCACAAAATGATACTCTCAGTTTTATGACTGGCCACCATTGTCCTAATCTGGAATTAGTGTCTGTGGTCTTGAGAAATTGTAATGAAAGCAGGGGAACTACTCCTTAAATCTGGTAGATTTCTACATTGTGATGAAGATTTTCAGTGGTTAAGGGGTAAAACTCACTGCCATTGGGTCAGAACTCATAGCTGGCCCTCCATTGGCTTTCCAAGGCTGGAAATCACACAGGAGGAAATTGTTTATCTTTCTACCTCAGAGGTACTTGTAGGTTCCAGCTACCAGAAAGAGGTCTGGTCTTCGGGTTAACAGCACAACATAGATTTTGCCACCAAAGAATGTTTTTATTGAGGACTTGTGGGGAGGAAAGACAGGAGGCTGATTTTTAAAAGTGGGCTTTTCAGTGGGCTGGGTAGTGTGCTCTTTTTTTTTTTTATGTGCTCTTATTTTGAAAGTGTGTTTTCTGGGTATGTGAGTCATCCCACAGGCCCCATTCCAAGCCCAGTTCTATTTTCTGTTCCCATTATTTCCAATAGCTGAGAGCTGCAATTGTTCTAAATTATTACCATCGTTAGCACTGAAGAGTTTTAAGATTTTATAATTGCCTAATGTAGCTTTTGCCAAGTTGATTAAAGTTTTTGAGGTTTTCAATGGCCCTAGAACAGTTTCTGGATTGGTTTTATAAGTGTTTAAAAGAGGATATTTTGTATGGCATGTTGACCTTACTTTTAAAAAAAATAAATAAAAACACATAAAACATTTCCTGTGTGGATAACATTGACTAATTTATTTGTAGGGTGATTTTCAACCTACAAACAAGGACTCTGGGTAAGGAAAAAACCTGTAATAAAACCTGTTTGTTTTTAACACTGTTCTTCCTTCTACCATTGTGGATCAGGGGAAAACCTCACATCTACTAGGTTAAGTAAGTGGCAGCACTCCTGACATTTTCTTGTCAAAGGGGCCCCATAGTTTTCCTTATGTCAGAACTGGCACCAGGGCCTTCAGGGAAAACCACTAAATGTGCTTTTGTTGGAAGAGACCCTGGGTGTTGGCATTCTGCTTTTCATTATTTCTCCTTGTCTAGTTGGGCTAATTAGCGTGCCCTCTGGCTGTACCCACAGAACTTGCTTTAGCACCTCCCTGGGCTTGGAGCTGCTTTCTCTCCAGTTGCCTGGAGAGACACACAAAAGGACTGGTCTTGTATGTGCCTTTCCTTTTGGTTAAAACTTGGGCAGGCATTAAGCTGGGTCCTGGGATTACAAAAATGAGGCATCTGCAGGTAGCAGTGTGGTTATGGGAGAAGCACAAGGACCCAGGCATGAGACAGAAGGAGACGGTTCCAGTTCAGCCACCGTTAGCCACATGGTCTTTGGCAGATCTTTTATCCATTCTGTGCATTGCCCTCCTCGGGGCTGAGTGAGGAGAAAGTGAGGGTAAACAGGACAATATATACAGCACGTAGCTCTGGGGGCATGTGAGGTGGTACTTTATCATTGATATGTGGGGAACATACACGGATGTAAAATTTCTTACTCAAAGAACAAATGCTGTGTCATTCTAAGAGGCAGGACGGGGATGTTTGGGAGAGGGACAGGGGCGGGAAGAGACTTCCCAGGGACGGTGACTCCTGAGATAAGTCTTGACACTCTGGGGCTCTTAGGCTGTGAGTGAGACTGGAGGAAGGGGAAACTGAGCACCTCGAGGTGCGAACCTTGTTGTTGTCAGGGGACCCGGATGTTTTTCAGGCCTCCTAAAGTTCAGCCTCCTTCTTCTTCTTCTTCTTTTTTAAGCTGTTTTTTTTCTAGTCTTCTTGTGTTTTGTGGGCTAAATGTTTTTGTGTGTGTATCGAGTGACCACATGGAAATTATTTTCTATGCTGCATTGTTACGTATGCCCACGGCTGAGCGCCTCGCCACGTGTCAACCATGATGGTGAACTCCTCTGCCTGCATTGGCTGACAGAGCCTGGTCTCGCTCACTGAACAGCCCCTGGGGAACCCTCTGTGGTCCCAACCCTGAGCCCTTGTCACCAGGCCATATCTGAAGTGTGAAGTGAGGGTTCTGTGCCAACATGAAGCAAGAGCAGTGGGCGTTACCTGTGAGGCAGGGTCACCCTGCGATCGAGGGTCACCCCTTTAGTGTTGGTTAGGGATTTTGCAATAGGAGCAATTTTACTGGCTTGTTGAGTTTTTGTGGTGTTCACTCCCACACTTACAGGGCCACTTATGCAGTGGTACTGTGTGTACCGGCAATGGCCATTCTATCTTACTGAACATTAGGAAATTTTCTGTTTCCTGTCACGTGCTTTGTTTGTACGAGTTTCCCACGAAGGGAGTTTTCATTGCCTAAAATGGAATGTTGGGTGAAATTCAAGGCTGTTGGGCTCAAGCCTTGAATTCTTTTATTTTAATCTTAAGGATTGTGCAGGGTCCAGATAGGATGTGTCTTAAGGAGTTAAACTATATTCATATACTGCCAGGAGCTGTGAGGTCATTGACCAGCTTGGCCTTGCTCTCTTGACCAACATGGTGCCTCAGACATCTTGGGGGGAAGGAGCAGGAATGAGGGTTGGGGACAATTCAGAAAAGAAACCTGTGTTTATCTGCTCTTTCCTCCTTGCTGAAGAACAAAACGACCAATCATATAATAAAAATTTTAAAAATCAAACCAGTTGGTGTCCAGTTGGCACCTACTCAAAGCGAACCTATTGTTGTTATGTGCCATTGAGTCAGTTTCAACTCTTAACAAGCCCATGTGACAGACTAGAAAGGTTCCGTACTTTTCTCGGCATTCATCTTTACACAAGTAGAATGCTACATCCTTCTCCTGTGGAGCCACTGGGTTTGAACCACTAACTTTCTTACAAGCAGCTGAGTGCTTAATTATTTTGCTGCCAAAGCTCTTTATAACAACCTTGGAGCAAACAAAGCCAGGGTGTAGGAAAGGCCAATTGATTGAACTGTTCTAACCACTTTTTCCATCTTGTTCTTCTTGGTCTGAACAATGTGTGCAAATTAAGATGACTGGCCAGTTCCTTCAGCTTGGTACCACCCAAAGTTAGTCAACTTGTGATGTAGGAAAATAGTAGGGAGCTATATGGTCCTTCTAGCAAGCCCCCATCCCTCAATGGACTGCCCTCTTGGTGTTAAGAGAAGAATGAGCCCTGGTAGTATAATGGTTAAGTGTTTGCCTGTTAACCAAAAAATTGACAGTTTGAGTCCACCAGCAGCTCCAAGGACAAGCTGAAGCAGTCTGCTTCCATAAACATCACAGCCTTAGAAAACCCATGAGGCAGTTCAACTCTGTCCTGTACGGTCACTATGAATCAGAAGAAAATCAAAAGCATTGGATGTTTTTTGAAAGTGGTTAATAGAAAGCCCAGGTCCCTCTGTTTCAATGACGCAGAAATTCTTAGACAGTGGAAGGTTTTAGTGTCACAGAGGTAATCAAGGGTAGAACTTGTTAGGACTGGACAATGTATTTCCAAACTTCTTCCCTCTCCAGTCATCACCTCTGTTTCACAGAGCCTTCTGTCTCATCTGAGTGTTTACATTCAGCTTATATGACTAGGAAATGAGATATGTTTATCTTCTGGGAGATGCATGAAATCTGGGAAGCTTAATGCACCTCAGTGATTTAGAGAAGGGAAATCCGGACTGCTTCCTCGATCTTCAGCTCATTTCCTGAAACCACCCTGTTAGACTGTTAACTGTGTTTTCTTTCAGAGCCAAGGCTAATACCCCTCTTCCAGGAGGAAGACAAGCACCAGAGGCTGCTCATGGGGCTGGTAAGGGTTCTGTGGACTCTTTGAACCCAAGGAAAGGGGGGAAATTTGGCTTCTTATGCTTGTTTTTTTATCCATTCTTTTGAAAATTATTTATCACGAGTTAATTAAATCATGTAGACTAAGAGAATACTTAATGGCATAAGAAAACTTGCATGGGAAAGAAACGCCAATTGCAAAAGATGGGAATGAGTGTACCCAACTAAAAGAAGAAAAAATGTTCTACCAAATTTTAAGATGATAGCATTATCGATGACTTTCATTTTCCGTGTGATGGGAATTGTAGGAAATTTAAAGAACACATGAGTGTTCTCTTTCAAATGAAAAAAAAATTTTTTTTTTAATGTTTAAGCACAATTAGTTAGCATGTGCAGGAGGACTGATACTTTGACCCTGAAGACCATGATCTAGGTTTTATTCAATGGATTTTATCTAAGAATCTGCTGAAATAGAAAATGCATGCATATTTGGTTCCAGTTTCCCAGTTCTCATGGAGCATTTTTTTGGAGCAAAGATCTTAGCCAAGGGGCTTCTAGATGATCAGAGAATGTAAGTTAAAGGGAGGAGGAAAAAACCAAAAGATGAGAATAACAATGACAGCCACTGATCATGGAGCCAGCCGTAAGAACTATCAGAAGACATAGACTATAGAAACAAATATTTTGGAGGCATCAGAATAATTATCCCATTGGGGTTTTTTCATCCCAGAGCTATGCGTTTACTGTCTAGGTGCAGTAGTGGTCTGGAGAGTTAGGAGTTGTGCTGCCAACCCAAAGGAAGGCAAGTGATTTGAATCCACTGGCAGCTTCATGGAAGAAAGATAGCAATCTTCTCCTGTGCAGTTTACAGCCTCTGAAAACCTGCTGGAGGGTCAGCTTTGACTCACAGGACATGAGTTTCAGTTGTTGAAAGTGTAAAGAAGGAACTACATGATTCATTTTCTTTTTATTCTTGTCTCTCTTTTTAAGCATTTCAAGTCACTGCCCTCACAAGCACGGTCATCCTATGTTAGTACTCCAGGGTTGTGGTTCTCCAGGGTCAATAGATTTACTCCGTTGGTGGATCCTGGAGTTTTTGAATTCCAAGTTAGTTGCTCTTCTTTGGAGAATTTTCATCAGGGCCTGGAACTTGGCTCTCAGTTATTTGCTGGGATTGCATGAATCAGTATATCCTCTTGAGAAAAATGTTGGGACCCATTGCCTAATGCTCATCAGAGGAATTTCCAGTATTATATGGTGAAGGTAGTGGGATCTTCATACCAGTATTTTTCATATTGATTAGGAATGCTTATAAACAGAATTCAAGATACTTGGCACTTAGGTGTGGATAGATTTTTACTTAGCTAATCCATGTCCTGTTTTCAGATGATGTCTGAACTAAAGGACCACCTTCTGAGACACCTACAAGGTGTAGAAAAGAAGAAAATTGAGCAGATGGTTCTGGATTACATTACAAAACTGGTTAGTTTTGCTGTTTCCTTCTCACACTCTACCCCCCTCCCCTTCCCTTTAATAGTCCCCAGTATGTGGTTCAAGGAAGATATTACATGTTTTTCAAATTAGAGTTTTGGAGATAACTCATTCTTAAACTAGTGTATTTGATGCTATTTTGAGGAGAAGGAAACCCATCAAACCAATGGGGATTAGTTTTGAAAGGTAGTTTTTAGTCCTTACTTTAAATAGTGATTAAATGTTTCTGGAAGCATAAAATGGTGATGAATTCAGCCCTGTTGGCTGATGTTCACATCTCATCTTAGCATCTTTCAACTCCTTGTTAAATAGCAGGTCCTCATTTCTGTACGTTGAAGCTTATGCAGGCATGAAAGAACTTGAACTTCAATCTTTAATTAGTGCCAAAAGATGAACTAGGCCAGATGCCAGTTCAATTCTGTAGATATTACTATATTAGAGCCTGCTGATAAAACTGGTAGCTAATTTACCTGGTAGCTGCTTATAGAAATGATATAATCCAAATTAATAATTCCAATCCATGTGTAAGTAGAAGTGATATGGGTATACTGAACTTTTAATCTGACTTGATTCTTTCCAAGGACGCTCTGAGACTTTCAAAGTGATATAACACTGAGGCCTGAATTTGCTTAGAAAATAGAAGTATTAGGGATGACAAATTGAAAAGAAAATATTTAATCACATAGAAAGAGAAATAACTTCTTATTGTTTCCCTAATGAGAAAATTGACCAGTTATACAAGCCTAAAGTTATCTTTTGGTCTGAACTCTGAAAGATTTTAAAAAATTATTAGACATGGCCCTGGCTTAATCTCTTCATGGGGAATGTGAAAGTTTCATGCTTTTATTGCAGGCATTAGTGTCTGTTATTAAATAAATTTGTCTTTGGCTTTCTATAGTAAAGTTTGATTTTTATGGGCTTTATGATATTGGGAGAAGTTGGTTTTCTCCTATACAGGTATTTATAATCAGGAGATTGAAATTTTCATAAGGAATTCTTCTTCCTCAAAGAACCAGACAGAGGAGCTTGCTTATAAATTAATTACTGATCTTCTCCAAAGTTAATATTAACTTTCTTTGTCTTTTAACCAATAACATACAGTATTTATTATACCTGCCGTTGACTTTAAACCTCAACTTCAGAAGGTTTTGGTTTAAACATCATTCTTCTCAGTTATTTGCATAAAAGCTTTAAGACCAACTTTTTGTTAACGACCCTCAGGACCAGTAGGACCAGACATGGTAGAGATGTAATCTTAGAAAGGTTAGTGCCACTGGATTTCCTGATACAGCAGTGACCGATGGAGGCCAAAGCTGGCTGCTCTTTTCGGCAATCAGCATGACTTCCCTCTTGAGGCTAGCTGGCCAGCCCACCTTTGTACAACAAATCCAAACAGAGTGGCTTCAGAACATTGTTATATTGTTGACGCCATCTAATTTACTTCAACAAGACACCGAGCATTTCTCTCACTGACACTACAGCAGGGTTTGTCTGGGCAACCAATCAAGTCTTTAAGATTGTCCTGGGTCTTGAGTCCACAGGTCCTCAGTATGGATTCCTGGCTCAGCAGCTCAATGGAGACTGCTCTTCTGCTGACAAACTTGAGGCAAAATTAAAGTCGGTTTCTGGATAGACTCGGCAAAGATGTCTGCTTTGGTTGACTGGAATTTATGTACTGGCTCTGTTAGAGTTAGTGTGCTAAATCGAGTCCCACAACAACCCAGTTGAGTAATTTCTTCCTCATTTAACATGTGAGGACACCAAGACTTGGAGAGGTGAGGTAACTTGTGTAGAATATAGAACTTGAACTTGGAATGGGTCTTACTCTACAGCCCACTTTTGACCTCCATTGTGTTCTGTGTTCCCCTTCTTGTGACTGGCAGCTATTGATCCTTGCTGTATAACAGGCCTATAGAAAACCAAGACTTCCAACCGGCATGAACTGGTTGGAAGCCTTGGAGGCAGCCCAACAACACTTGACCTTCACTGATGGGTGAGGGCCTGCAGGCCTGGAGAAGCTCTGTGAGGCCACCATCCCCAGAGACAGAGCTTGCTCTGTTAGACGCGGGGACACGTGCTCAGTCTTTCCATTTTGGATGCCAGTGCCTCAGAACTGACCTCTGGAGGGCTAGTCTGGGTTCTGGCCTCAGTGCCCACTGCCCTGAACATGCCCTTTGGAGCTGCGTTGGGACTGTTGCAGGGCTTGAGAAAAGGTGCAAACAAAGGTTAATGACTGTCTTTACCATCTAGCTGGATCTCCTTTGCCGCATACTGGAAACCAGTTGGAGGAAATACAACCTTCATTCCTGGGTTCTACACTTGTACGCAAGTATTTCTCACTCTCTTTATCATGGGTGCAAAGAGCCAGCACAGCCCTGATTGCTGCTTGGTTTCTCAAATCCTTTTTAAATGTCTGAAATCACAGTTGTTCTCAACAGTCCAACCTCATCTGTCTTCAGTGCACTGTCTTTCATGCCATGCCTGTTTCCTTTCCGGGCATCTTTCCCTGGCATCCGATTGGTGAGGGAAGACGAACACATGAGTCAGCCCTACAAAGAAGAGGGGATGCAAAGGAATAGAATTCATGCTTTATGTGCTGATTTTCTCACAGTGGACACTTTGAGGATCACACAGCAACAGGCAAGATTTCCATCTATTGAACATAGGATTGCAGTGAGTCAGAGCCGACTCTATGGCACTTAACAACAACAACAACAACAACAACAACAACAATCTGGTTAGACTCTAAGCACTAAGCTGATGTTTGTGGTATTTCGGGAACTTTCTGCTTCTATAAAGACTGTGTTGTTGTGTACCATAGTGTTGGAACTGACCCATAGCTGACCCTCCCGCAGGTTGATTGCACGGGAGGAGATTGCCCATCCTTGCCCTGCAGAGCAGCTGGTGGCCTTGAACCGCATGCAGCGCAGCTTCTTGCCATTAGCCTTGGAAACACTATGTTATGGGGGTACTTCCACTGTGCCCTACAGAGTTGTCACGAGTCTGAATTGACTTGACATCAGCGGGGTTTCTATAGGGCATAACATGTTGTGGTTCACATGAAGACTGCCAAGTGCTGGACTTAGAGCCGCCGCTTAGAGTGGATGTGTGCTTAGTGATGAACTCCTTGGCTGACACACCCTTTTAATTGTCACTTAGTGGCGGACGTGGCAGTGCTGCTGAATTTGCCATCTTTCATCTCATGACCAGGATTTTGGAAGCTACGAACAGTTTGTTTTTACCTCTGCCTCCTGGTAAGCCTCTTCTCTTTTATTATGTGGTGTAAGCATTTGTTTTGGTTTTCTTCTTCACAGACACACAAATCCCTTGAATTCTGACACCTGATGAATTTAATGATGAGAACTGTACTGAGTGGCTGTGTATCCGGTGTCATGGTGAGAGGCTGGCCTGAGGTTGGCCGTTGGCCTCTGCTGACAAGGTCCCCCCTGAATAGTAAACTATACTGCAGCTGGGAGCTAACTTTATGGAGTGTAGGTTGGTCTCATGTAATTTTCTAGTCATGTGACTCTGTGGAGATGGTTCAGGGCAAGTCTAGAACTTGCTTTCTCTGATGCCTCCAGGACTTATCTGACTGAAATGGAGGAAGGAAGGTTAACACTCTGATTTACCAGAACAGCTACCTATGGATTTCAACCCCAGTGCTCTCTAGGAAGGAAAGAACTCTGAAGAGAAGTCTAGCTGGGTGCCAAGAATGGGACTGATTCTTATGTACTTGGAGGCTATTTCCTTGAGATTTTGAAATTAGATAAAGTCAGGTCTCAGAGTTACCAAGGGGACATGCTATTCCAGCAGTCATTTATTTAAATTGGTCATTTGTTCCTTCAATCACCAAATCCTTATCATTTATGTATCATGTCCTACACTGTATGTTAGAACAGGCACAAAGATGAACGAAGGTCTACTTTGGAAGATGTGCGTGTAAATCAATATTCATTATAAAAAAGAAATACGGATCTGTTTGCCATAAACTGCTAACTTTGTTTGTAGTATACAGGTCCTGGTAAATGGTCACTTTTATGCTATCTATACCGACACACTACATCTCACATGCTTTGAGCATGCTTTCGTGAGGTACCAGTCGATACAGAAAAAGTAGGTCAGCAGGGAAAAGAAACCCTCAGTGAGATGACTTGACACAGTGGCTGCAGCGGTGGGCTTGCGAATGGCAGAGATTGTGAGGAGAGTACAGGATAGGGCACAGTTTCAATCAGATGTTTATAGTATTGTAATGAGTCATGGTTGACGGAACCTAACAGCAACATCACTACATAATGTGTGTGTGTGTGTGTGTGTGTGTATACACATCCTGATTTTCTTTAATTCCTTCAGTCAGACACATATCTCTATCCATTCATCATTCATTTGTTTATTTTATGCTAACATTCACATGGTCATCGTCTTGGAGTAGGACTGTTTCTAGTAGGAGTGTGTAGAGTGTTGCACTGCTAAACAAAGGGCTTCATTTTCAGAGACTTGAACCCTCCAGTAGTAGCTCTCTGGGTGAAAAGGGGGCAGGCTTCTCTCATTAGTCTCCTCTCATCAAGTCTTACAGCCTTGGGAACCAGAGGCGGTTACTCTGAGCGAACCAAGTCAGTAGCACTGAGGGAGTGAGTCATTTGCCCCAGTTTCTTCACATACTTAACACGTTTCATTTTCACTACAGCATAAAGTTATAGGAACCATATTAAATTGTCAATATCTGACCATCTCTTTAAATTCTTAAAAACAGCACTTTCATATAGCAATTTCTAATTTTGTCATTTTTCTGAGGCACAGAAAGGTTACATAAGGTGCCTAATATCACATAGCTGTCAACTTAGAGAGCCAATATTCAAGTCCAAGTGGTCTGCCTCCAAAATGTGAGATTTTAACTACTTATGTGTTGTCTCTTAAATTTTATACTCTATTTCAATTAATTCATGTTGAAATATTGATTACTTGTGTGCCCAAGAATTCCCACAGCACAGCTTAACATCTGTGGGTTTGTGTTGTGTTTGGTACAGTTTAGAATCCTTCATGATTTTTCCATCTGTAAACTTGATATGGTCTGATTTAAGCTGAGACAGATAGGAGTGTCTGTGAACTCTGTAGATATTTCCTATGAACTCTGAAGTGACCATTTAAAAAGAACATCTAAAAACTTCAACAGTAAAAAGGGAAGCCACAGATTGGGAAAAATATTTGGTAATGACATGTCAGATAAGGAACTTATATCTAGAATTTATTAAATACTCAAGTACCAAAACAAGATAAAGGTAAATAAGCCAATTGAAAAATAGGCACAGAATATGAACAGACACTTCACCAAAGAAGACATTCAGACGGCCAACAAATACATGAAGACATGTTCAAAATCCCTAGCTCTAAGCGAGATGCAAATCAAAACAACTATGTCATCTCACCCCAGTAAGAATAGCAAAATTTAACAGAGCAGCAAACAACAAATGCTGGCAAGGTTGTAGAGAAACTGGAACCCTTATTCACTGTTGGTGGGAGTGTAAAATGGTGGAACCACTATGGAAGGTGCAGGTGCTCTCTCAAAAAGTTACAAATACCATTTGACTCAGCAATTCCATTACTGGGAATATACCCTAAAGAAACCATAACCACCACCCAGGCAGATATATGCACACCCATGTTTATTGTAGCTTTGTTCACAATAGCAAAGAGTTGGAAATAACCTAAGTGCCCATCAACAAACAAATGGATAGAGAAGCTGTGGTGTATTCACACAATGGAATACTACACTGCATTGAAAAACAAGGAACACATGCTATATTATTCAAAGTGGGTGACCCTGGAGGACATTATGCTGAGTGAAATATCTCAGTCACAAAAGGACAAATACTTCATAGTACCACTGTTGTAGAACGGGACTGACATCAGGGTTGGGGTAAGACTGACAAAAATTGGATAAATTATGTAGACTGCATTAAAACAGATGAGGGAGAGAACTGTTTAAAAGTGATATATGATTGGGTATTATGGTTATGACAAGAGTCCAGATTGAAGGTTTCATAGTGGAGTGTACTGGGGTGGGGGTGGAGATTGTATAACAATGAAAGAATTTTTTCCTTTTACTTTTCAAAGAGAAGAGTGAACTAGGGGGAGGGTGGGCAGGGAGAAAAAGGCAACAATAAATGAATGGAAATCTAAAATCTCTGTAAAAGTTCATTAAAATGAATAAAATAAAAAGAAAGAATGGCTTTAAATTATCTCCCAAACAAAACCAAATCCACATTTGTTAATCCCAGCTCGTAGTGACCATCATTGGATTTCTGAGGCTGTAAATCTTTACAGGAGGAGCCCATCCAACTTCATCCTGAGGAGCACCTCATGGATTTGAACCTCTCAACCTTTTGGTTACCAGTGTAACTCATAACACATTATTCCAGCGGAGCACCTTATATTATCCCAGTAGAATAGGAATTATGAGGTGCCCTTTAGAAAGAGTGAAGGGGTTTCATGGAAACTTTGGTTTTCTAGCTTAGCTTCTAGTTGTCATTAATATAGAAACTTGGCAGAGGAATGGGATTGACCGTTTTGAAGTGCCCACCATGGATATTGAGGCTCCTTTTGTTGACAAATGAAGCTGACTTACTGGGGACACCCTTATGCCTGAAAGATCATTAGCGTCACTTTCTACAGAAAACAGAAAAACATTACTCATAGTGATTAAGAATGAATATGAGATTAGACGTAATGGCTCAGGTCAGCTTTCTTCACATGACCTTTTCCTCTAGTATATGCTTTGCTTTCCTTTCCATTTATAATGACACTAGTTATTAGATTTAGGGCACACACTACCTTTGGGGTGATTTTATCTTATTATTCTTAACTAATTATATACACAAAGATCCTGTTTCCCCACAAGATCATATTCTGAGGTCCTAGAAGAATACAAATTTTGAGGGGGACAGAATTTAACTCAGCACACCTCATGTGATATGAAGGTAGAAATGAAGATGAGGAGAACGGCACACTGGCTCATTTGTGTATGTATGTATGTGTGTTTATAAAAATAGAATATTTGCCTGTGGAGATGTGTGAGTATACTTGTGTTTTCCAGACTAACAGACTGAAATATTTGAGTTTCAAGAATCAGAATTTGTATCCTGAATGGATTAAAACATTAAAAAAAAATAAAATGGAAGGGAATGAGTTGTACAAAAAAGGAAGTCATGGTCTTGAGCTGGAGCATCTGCTATTTAAAAGGGACTTGGGTTCCCTTCTCTGGCTAGAGGCGGCCAAAAGTGCTGGAAGACAAGGACTTCAGCTGGATGGAAAAGTGTTCTCATTGGGAGCCGATGCCCAATGTTAGGCAATTCTGCAGCTCAAAGCTGACACAACAGAGAGGAGGCCAAGAATGGGCTGCTGAGCTTTGGACTGTGTCCTAGGGATACAGGGCAAAGGGTAACCCAGGGATCTTTTTGAGCATAGACACACAGATGTTGAAGGAATTTTGAATCCAGAAGCTTCTATAAAGCCTTTCTGACTCATAGCAACTCCACAGAACAGGACAGAACTGCCCCTTAGGGTTTCTGAGGCGGCCATCTTTTTGGAAGGAAGCCTTCCCTTACATTTTGCTCCTGTGGGGCTGCTGGTGGGTCTGAACCATTAACTCCTGTTTGCAACCAAACACTGACACGGTGCCCCAAAGCTCCTTTGAAAATCTAAAGGGGCAATATTTTAAGAAACTTTTCTTCTGAAAAACTTTTTCTAATCTTGGGACAGATTTCCAAAGGCAATTCCATTTGGAAATCTTACACTGCCAGTTAGCCAATAACATCACTGTTTTTTGGATTCAGGAAACTTAGTGGACTCATCTCATTTTCAGCACATTAGCAAGAACTTGTGGCAGTGTGCACTTTATCTGACCTGTGGTGTTGCCAGGACTGAGGAGGACTGCCCCACTGCTCATGATTCATTTGCTCAGAGGGAGAAAAAGTCCCTGATTTCTCTGACTCCAAGCTGCTGCTCTGTGGGCATGAGTTATCTGGCACTTAAGCGCTGATTCTTCTTCATCCTCCTCTGCACACATCTAATCAGTTGCCGATGCATGTGGCTACTTCTCCAATCCTTTCATTCCTCTTTTACTGTCCACACACTTGCTACCATTAGTCTGGGTTCAAACAACAGCTATCCAACCTGTCTTCTTATCTCCTGTAGCAAGTGGTTACCCAGTCTATTCATTGCTGGCTTTCACATTAATATTCTACAAGTAAAACTCAAA